GAGGAGAGAAGCAACTGACATGGGTTCTTCTACTATTTGCTTAATTGTAAAGAAATTATTTTGCAAGCTAAAGGCTAACGTTTCATTTGAAACAGGTGCTTAGATGGTGGTATTTGTGAATTCTTTATTGTGTGTTCCAAATGAGACGGCTAAATAAATTGCAAGTATGGATGACTTCAGGGTTTTTTTGAAATGTCTTCCAGTTTCAGCCACTATCATGATAAGCACAGTTGAGTCTGCAGAGTAAATTCCAAATATGCCTTCTAATTTGAAATGAAAGATGCTAAAAAGCTGCATACATTATATACCTAATCCTGGCTCATCCTATGACAGATTACAGAGTAAACAAACATACTGTTTTACAATTAAACCTTCCATGTGGTAAAAGCAGCATAAAAACAAACTATCAAAGTTAATTTCTTATGCAAATATACCTTCACAGTGTCTGCAAATACATAGTTTTACATATGTAAATCCCCATTTTTGGATCAGAAGAGGGATTTTCTCCAAGACAAAGAAGGTTTTTTTGATTTCTTTCTCAGAAGGCTTTGGACATTTGATTTCCTAAAAATATTTTTTATTCTAAGGAAGCACCGGATTGTGCTGCAGTTAACCTATGAGCACATGCTTGGGTTTAGTGAAAGGATAGTAAAAGAAAACAGTTTTGAGTCTAGTGATGGCCCTGTTCACCTTCCTCAGAGGAGAGACTGCTTCAATTGCTTCATTCTTTTTTGAGGAATTTTATAGGGCATTTGAGACTTTGTTTTCCACATTGCTAAGACTGGAAGAAAAGTGGCAATAAGTGGTTTTTCAGTTCAGAAGATGTGATAAGTCCAGTAGTATGGCCTGTCTTCAACTTTGGACATAGAGGAATGGGGAGAAGGAGGAAAAATGAGAGAATTTTCCATTTGATTCCTTCTTAGAGGCAAAAATCCCTAATGTGGCTCCCTCTGACTTTACAGTGTGTTATATAGCTCCATTTTTTGTAAAAGCATAAATAATTCTTTTCCTTAGACCCAGGATGGATACTTGGATGTTTGACTTATTTTAGGTGATAGGAGGTAATGTTATATTGAAAAGGCTGGGGACTCAGGTACTTTTCTTAGTTGGGACTGAACTTTCTCATCAGAGAAGGGGCCTCAGAAGCAATGTTCCCAAATTTGTGGTTGGGCCATTGTAGATTCAGGGTGTGGAAAAGTAACCTCAAACAAAAGAAATAGTTCCAATAAGAAATACGGATTTTCCTTTTTCTCCTTTAACAGTTATACTATATGATGAACAGACTATAGTAGAAACTTGTTGTTTCCAAATCAGCAGAAGACTATTGTGTGTATTCCCAGGTCTTTACATAAGAAAAGTAAAACTTTTATGATCCTTAAAAAAAAAAAAAAAGGAAAGAGAAGGGAATAAAGCGCATCCAAATGGGGGCAAAGGAAGTCAAACTCTCCCTCTTTGCTAATGATATGATCTCATACTTGGAGAATCCCAAAAGACTCAACCTCAAGACTCCTGGAAGTGATCAAAAAATACAGTAACGTCTCAGGATTTAAAATCAGTGTCCACAATTCAGAAGCCTTTGATATGCCAATAACAACCAAGATGAGAAGCTAATCAAGTACACAATTCCCTTCATAGTAGCTTCAAAGAAAATGAAATACCTAGGAATATCCTAACAAAAGAAGTGAAGGACCTCTGTAAAGAAAATTACAAAACCCTAAGAAATAGTAGAAGATATTAACAAATGGAAGAACATATCATGCTCATGGTTGGGAAGAATCAACATTGTGAAAATG